TGTAGCCTCTCGATTTAAAATCAACTATAGAGGTCATGAAAGCAAAGGACTTGTGGGGAGCCATCCCAGCCAGAAAGGTTGGTTTTGTTTAAAATATATGTTTGGGTAATCTGGTGTCTTTCTCTTTCGTAGCCACCCTTTGAAGGTAACGTTCTCCTATTGGCTATTGAAGCATCTCTACATGAAGTTATCAACATGAAACGTGCATCTCATGTGCTTGAAGAGATGAAAAAATAGTGAGTTTTTATGGTTCTCATGCCTTATGTTATATAAGTGATTGACAAATAGCGATATTTTTTTTAATCTTTTTTTTTCTGTTATTCTGTTCAACTAAGAGAACATTCTGCTGCATATTATAACAAGGGAAAAACGTTTTTCCTTGATAGAATGGAACAAGAGGAAACTCTATCTCCCAAGCAATAAATTCAATCTACATGAACAAAAGTGGAAGAAAAATCAAATATGTTAAATGGAAACTCCACTTATATAACCTGTCTCCCAATCGTCAACAATTGATAACTCTCAATGGTGACCTCTCATCACGAATGGTGAGTGGGTACAAACAAGTTCGCCATTTGGTGTAGAGAGGTCACCATTGAGAGCTATCAATTGTTGACGGTTGGGAGACAGGTTATATAAGCTAACATATTTGATTTTCCTTGCCACTTTTGTTCATGTAGATTGCATTTATCTGCTTGGGCGATGGAGATAGAGTTTGCTCTTGTTCTCTATAATGATTCTCTCAAGGAAAAACGTTTTTCCCTTGTTATAATATGCAACAGAATGTTATTTGAGCAGAATAATAGAAAAAAATAATTTTTTTTTTTTAAAAAGAGCTAATTGTCAATCACTTATCTAACATAAGGCATGGAAACCATAAAAAAACTCACATTTTTTTCATCTTCAAGCATATAGATGCTCCTTTCATGTTGATAACTCCATGTAGAGTTGTTTCAATAGCCAATTGGAGAACGTCACCTTCATATGCTGGCTACGAAAGAGAAAGACACAACTTCAGATTATAATTATCTAAACATACAGTTTAAATAAAACCAACCTTCTAGGCTGGGATGGCTCCTCACAAGTCCTTTGCTCCATGGCCTCTATAGTTGATTTTAAATCGAGAAGTGGCTACACATAAGAAAGACACGTACACCTTAAATTATAATGATCTAAACAGAACACCAATTTTATTTTCAATAAAACCTAAAAGAAAAGAAAATTTATGTTAAATAAAAACAAACTTTCTATTCTAAATAAAACCTAAAACCTGAGATGGAGCCGGAAGAGGCAAACCAATGGTGAGTACCACAAACATGCTATATACCAAGTAACTTTTTAACTGGATTATTAAAATGAGAATTTTTGTTCTCATTTTTCTTGTGGCCGATAGTGAGACTTCCATTCCTATATTATCTGTAAGCTCTAAAGTTTAACCACTGCAGCACTGATGAACAAGGTAGATATCACATTTTGATTCAGAATCTTCATGCGAGTTTTGTATTGTCTTGTTGTATAATTCAAATATCTACGAGATACATTCATGATGAGCATCACATCCATCA